AGTATAATATACCCCAAAACCCATTCCTAATCATTAAGGCCCCCACATTATATGGGCGCATGGACCTGCTCAAACCCATCTAGCAAGAAGCAACCCTTAAAGCGCCTTTTCGGAGGAACCTCTGAAAAGGACCCTGAAAGAATCCTTGCAGGTAAGGGGCTATGCCCACAACTCAGTGGTCCCTTGTCAAGATCCAATCCTGTTCCGGAACCTGCATAAGGCTACCGAAAGGTCCAAACTAAATGCATCTGCTGATTAGAAGCTTCTACAAGGCTACAAGCGCAATAAGCTGCTGGCTTCTACAAGGGGTCTACAATAGTCTACAAGGCACCAATCGTAAGATACCTGTGCTGAAGATAGTAGTAATTGCAAGTTCGAGTCTAGGGGAATCCCTGAGCCAAACTGAAGTCCAAGTCTTTTGTGACACCAGCTATTTTCCGCTGTGAACGAATTTCGCTGGAGACCATCGGCCCAACGACCGCATCTTTGCCACATCGGTTGTTGATTCATGTTGCAGTGGTGGCTATTGCAGAAACCGTGCTCCGGGATGACTTTCATTCATGCTTTGGAGGTTTATCGCTTTGTGGCCGAGTTCGGAGTTTAAGGGCTTAACAAGGGTTTGTGGTGGAGCGTTTTTGTTTTTTGCGTTTCTTGGTGGTCCTCTAAATCAAAGCTCTCTGCACCGTGTTGGGATGGATGTTGGTACGAAGTGTGAATATTGTGTCCGAAATGCCACGGCCTAATGATGACTCCTGAACCGGCGGAGGCTGCAGGGCCCCACGAGAAACTTAAGCAGACAAAGCGTTGGAAGCCTATCAGAATCAGCATCTGAAGCCCAAGAACCAAAACCCTAAACTCCAAGCCCCTAACCTTAACCCCTAAACCCAAAACCCTAAACCCCAAACCCTAACCCCTAGCTAAGCCAGCTCCACGATTACAACCTGCCTGTGTGAAGGCATACCGGGAGCGCATGATCCGGATCTACCAGCAGCACAATCCAAGCAAGCTGAACCTTTCCTGTTTTATGGGAGTTGGCGAGCTTTGAAACATTCAGGGTTTCATGCAACCCGAAGCCCTAAACCCTGAACTGTGTTGGGTTTCAGATGGGCCAGACAGGGTATCGAAGCCAGGTTTGGCTTGTTGGCTTGTGACAGCATGAGTTTCGGATCCTTCATGCCTCTCTTCTTAGCACAGACGGCCTTGCCGGCGACTGCTTTTCGGATGTTGAAGAGTCCTCACTCCCCGTGGCTTAAGGCTTTTCAAATCAGGAGTTTTAGCGAAGGTGTATAGGTTGCTTCTGAGAGCGCGATAGGTGCTTCAACTGCAGCCCTGTGATGGACAGAAACGGCGGCTGACATTTTGTTGGGATCAGAGTCCACATCCGTCTAACGGTATGGTGACCACACGCCATACCAGGCCTGCGGCCAGATAGCTAAGTCTGAGAATCCGCATAATGAGGCTTTTTGAAACTAGTGGTCCATGCTTTCCGGGGGTCCTTGTATTCAGGATCCTACTGATGCTGTGTGTCTTCGGCCACGGACTGAGTCTGTTGCTTCTGACCCTACACAACGCCAAAGCAATTGTAAACCCCGAAATCCTTAAAATCTCCACACAGGCCGGGCCTTGATCCTTAATTTGACCTTCCTGGCACCCTTGAGATTAAATTTGCTGGTGCCTCAAGTGCCGGAAGACGGAGCATTCCGGGCTCGAATCCGGCGTCGCAAAGACTGGCATCTTACATTCCCTCCAAGCAGCCCTAGAAGCCAGTCATACTGTTGATGGGCAAAATCCTGCATGACCTTATATGCCTAAACTTTGGGATTTATGGTACTATACTATATTTGGGTCATGCAGAAATTTGTCCATCAACCGTATGTGGGGCTTCTTAACAGCAGCTGTCCTGATTGAGAGGCCCTGCCTCTGAGGATTGTACTACCTGGGTACAGGGTGTAGAATAGACCTCTTTTTTGTCTGAAGCTCGCACATGCTATCCAGAATCCAGGGTAGGCTTCATGCAACACCTTTCGATGGGTCCACCCACCTATTGTACGTACGAGGGCATCAAAAGGGTTCCTATATAGGTACGGTTGATGATATAAACCCTGCATTACCCATTATAAGAAATATACCATAACTACCATAGTTCAGGGCCCTTACGGTAATGAAGGAATATACCATAACTACCATAGTTTAGGGCCCTTATAAGGTAATGCAGGATTTATATCATCCGCAGTACTTCAAGGCGCCAGTCGATACGATGTAGGTACATAGACAGTTAGGGTTTAAGGTTTAGGGTTTAGGGTTAGGCCGTCATGGTTTCCACATACCACGAAATCCTAAAGCCAGCCTAAACCCGAAACCTGAAACCGTGAAACCTTGCTGTATCGGAGTCCTAAACCTCTAAAACCGTAAAGCTCTGAAACCTAAAACCGTGAAGCCCTGAGGCCCAAAACCCCAAACCCTAAACTACAATCCAAGGAACGAGATTGACCAGCTTATGGCCAAGTACGTCGGCCAGGAGCATGTCATGTACTTGAAGATCTGCAACAAGCACCTCGACAAGAGGGTGCAGGGTTTAGGGTTTAGGGTTGACACATAGCTCCAGGTTTTTGAAGGCGGCCGTACGGTTGTTTCAAGGGAGTTTGTTTGGCCCGTGGGGCTTAGTTGACTTGTGGTAAGGTTTCGGCAGAAATGTGACACAAATAGTGCCCCCCGTAAAGGAACCCGAAGCACCCTTCAAGGGAAACCCATTATATAACCTTATAACGCCCGTGAAGACACCGTAAATCGCGAAACCTGACAAGCACTAGGAAAACACAGCTGCTGCAATCCATAATTTATCCTTAAGGCTCCAAGAATGCCTTCTAAGCCAGCGCTGTAAACCAAGGCCTTAATTCTCAAACCGTGAAGCGCTACAACCCTCCTCATACAACCGAGGCCCAAACCCGAAAATATCCAACAAGCATGCAGGCCGACCAAAGCAGCCCAACATTCTCTGCAAAACTAACCAGATCTAACCCATGGCACAAACAAATGAAACCCTGTGTCCAAAAAGGTACAAGGTGCAGCCGGAGCCAGAAATCCGCCCCGGAGGGGTTGGACTCCCCCAAGGAGGTCGGCGGTGGCTCAGGGGCTTTTAGGGTTTTGGGTTTCGGGTTTGGGGGTCAGCATGTAATGCCTTGGGTTTATGGGTAGTGCAGCGGATGGGTAAGGCTTTCTTGCAGGTGCAATAGGATTGTAGGACATTTTAGGCGTTACATCGTGGTCATATGGTTGGAGGTTAATGCAGCATTTGGATCTAGTGTTTCAGGCTTTCCGGTTGCTATTGCCGGGCCCAGTGTTTCAGCTTTGTGTTGGGGCTGTTAGGACGTCATGTTATCCGGCGTCTACTTTTGGAGTTGTCACAGCTTGTGGCATTTTCGTTTTAGGTTACAGTATACGGCTTTGGCTGCTGGTTTTAAGGCCTTTCAGCATTCAAGTTTACCTGCTGGCCAAAAGCCCTACAACCCTGCTGACCACCTTATGACGCATAAACCCATAGGCCCAATAGTAGTTCCTTTTTGCGGCTTATATTTATGATCCTATTAGGTAACCCCAAGAAGGAACTACCATGGGGCCTGTGGGAAGGTATAGAGAGCCTGATCTCATCTGCAAGCCCTTTCCAGACCCCAAAAAGCAGCACGATGCACCCTGAAACCCTAAACCCCAAAGACCCTATAGAAGCCTTATCAATCAAGAATCCTCGTTCGAACCTTTATGGAAACCGATGAACAAAAACGCAAC